AATCGTACGGTGTCGAATAATTTGGTGTCGAATAAATCTGTGTCGAATCGAGCGGTGTCGAATCGTACTGTGGTCAATAGAGTATCACCCGAAAAAAGGTGAGGAATGGGAACAGGGAAGGGGATAGAGGGAAGGATGTAATAAAAAGAATAATATGGTCGGAGGAAGGAAAAAGAAAATGGATGAAGGAGATGCTGAAAAAGATGAGAGATGAAAAAAGGGGGGTTAAAGAGGAATAGGAGATTATGAAGAAGAGAATAAGAACGGTATTAGGAGAAAGGGAGGTAAGAAACGTAGGGAGTGGGAGAAGGGGGTGGTGGGATAATAAGTGTAAGAAGGCAAAGAGGAATGTAAGAAGGGAGTTAAGAAGGTGGAGAGAGGGAAGAGGGTGTAAGGAGGAGTATAAGGAAAGAAAAAAGAATACAAGGCGTTGTGTAATAAGAAAAGGGCAGAAGAAAACAGAGTTTGGGAAGAGGTGGTAAAAAAGCGAAAACGATGGGGCAGGTGTGGGAAGTGGTGAATAGGGAGAGAAGAAGAAAGAGAGAAGAGGGTAGTGGGATTGAGATAAGANAGTGGGAGGATTATTTCAAGAAGTTGGGGGGGGGAACTTGAAAATGGCGAGAGGGGAAAAAGGAAAGAGGGAGAAGAGAGGAGGATATGGGAAGGGAGAAAATTATAAGGGCAATTGGAAAATTAAGGGTAGGAAAGGCGCCAGGGGAAGATGGTATATCAGCAGAAGTATGGAAGTTTGGAAGAAGAAATATGCAGGATTGTAGGAGGATATAGGCAGGAGAAAGATGGATCGATAAGTGGAATGAGGGAATAGTGGTGCCAGTACTGAAAAAAGGAGAGGGAAATAAGGTGGAGGAGTATAGGGGTGTAACATTGGCCGGGTCATTGTATAAAGTGTATGCGGAGTTGTTAGCAGAAAGGTTAAGGGAAGAAATGGAGGGAAAGAAACTAGTTCCGGAGAGTCAGGCGGGGTTCAGGAGGGGAAGGGGTACGATGGATAACATTTATGTAATAAATTACTTGGTTAGCAGGAATTTAAGTAGGAAGGGGGG